TTCCAAATCATTTCTGAGTATGTTGAACAGAACAAGTACCAGTATATATCTTTGGGGACCCACCCTTTTCTGCTCTCCATTCTGAAATCTAACCCTACCCTTTATTTACTGTGTTTTAACCAGTTACCGATCCATGTGAAGACTTTCCCTCTTATCCCATGACAGTTTAATTTACTTAGCCTCTCATAGGGGACGTTAACAAAGACTTTCTGTAAGTCAAAGTACACCGTATCTGCTATGTTGTCCCCTTACGGTTGAAACCCTCAAACAATTCTAATAAATTAATGAGATATGATTTCCCCTTTACAAAAGCTGTGTTGACTCTTCCCCAACATATTGTGTTCATCTAGGATTCTGATTGTTCTGTTCTTTACTGTAGTTTTAACCATGTTGTCTGGTACTGAAGTTAGGCTTCTTGGCTTCTACTTTCCAGGACTGCCTCTCTCTCAAGCCCTTTAAAAAAAATCAGCATGACATTAGCTATCCTCCAGTCGTTTGGTACAGACGCTGATTTAAATGATGCAGTACCTACCCCAACTGTAGTTCTACAATTTCATATTTGCGTTTTCCTTCAGAACTCTTGAGTGAACACCATCTGGTCCTGCTGACCTATTACTTTTTAATTTATCAATTTCTTCCAACCCCTCTTCTACTGACACCTCAGTCAGGGACGGTTGCTCAGATTTCACACCTAAAAGAACGATTCGGGTGCGGGGAACATTCTGACATTGTCTGCAGTGAAGATGACGCACCAAATTCATTTAGCTTCTCTGCAAGAGTCTGTTTTTCTCGGCTGCTTCTTCAGCAACTTGACACTTCAGTTGCCCCTCTCCAGTTTCAGAGGGAGGAATTTGGATGTTCCCCACACTTCTGGATATCTAGCTATGAATCTTCATTGCCCTGCCTCTCAAGCCTGATTTTTGTATAGGCTTTACAATAATGTGACTCAAGAGGCAGCAGAGAAGCATAGCTAGAATTGGTTGACAGTTTTGGAACAATTTTTTGGTGAAAATTATTTTTTTAATAAAAAAAGCAATTATTTTTGTGGAAAATTTTGTCACCATTTTGTTTTCTGAAAATGTCTTGCATTTTCTGGATTTTGTTTTCAAAACTTATTTAAAACATCCTAGACAATTCTTTTTTAAATAATGCACGTCCTTTAGTTCTATTTGCACATCAGATGCTTTCTGTTTCTTCTAGGCTAAAATCCCTGTGAGTAATTATCATTCTCTTATATATGCATGTGTGGGAGTGGATTTGGAGGAAAGCAACAACAAGTAGCCGAGCGTGCAGGAATGATTCATGAGGAAAGACAAAAAGAACAAAACATAGATTGTTTGGATAAACTAGTCGGGCCATAATGGGTGATAGGAACGTGATTAATTTTTGGATGTATGTAGGACGTCCACACAAGGGGATCAAAATAGATATGGTGGGTGGTTATATCTTGGAGTTAAGGAATGAAATTTACAAAAAGGAAAATCTAGGCTAGATATGAGCTAAAACAGCTCAATATTGAGCTCTAACATATTCTACTGGAGATTTGTCTTCAGTGGAACATTCTCAAGGGCTTTTTCCATCCCAGTTTAAAGCTGTGCTTCAAAGACCATATCCAGTTGGTTGGAAGAATAATGTTACTTGATCTTTTGGCACTTCCTATTTCTCCACTTCAGTATAACTTGAATCTCTCATCTTTGGTGCACTGTGGATGCTGAGAGGTGTTTGGTATTAAGTAAAGCTTACACCCCCAGTGCATTATAAAGAAGTTTAATTAGCCCAAACTTTCCAAAGAATCTGTTCCAATAGGCACTACAGACCATATTCTCAAATGGTGTAAATCAGCATAGCGTCTCATCAGTGGTGATGAGACCATTTACATTAGCTCAGGATCTGGCCCATCAGGGTCAAAAGTCAGTAAGAATGTGTCTTCCATCAGCCTTTGAATTACTCTAGTATTTCAGCTTAACACTAAAGACAATGCAGTCCAATGGAAGGTTTTTCAGCACTCTTAGGGCATTAAAGGCCTTGCTAAATGTAATAAAACCATTAATTTGGTAATTAAAATGATTACTGATCACTAAGGAAATTGTTTACTCAATAATTCAGCACCATAATTGATATTGATTTCTGCTTTTTGAAACCCAGTAGAGAATTCCTAAGCAGGAGACTTAAGTGAACAGAAAATGGAAGCAAAATGAAGGAACCAAGAGAGTTCAGCAAGAAATAATGATTACAAAAAAAAAAAAAAAAAAACTATTGCATAACCCCTTGTGCCAATAACAAACTTGAAAGTCATGCAGAGTTGAAAACTATTTCACTCTTTATTGCCTGTATGAATTGTCCATCTATACAATGGAGTTGATGAAGATTAGATTTACAAAGCAGTGGTCAAGGTTTTATCTGTGCATCTTCCATTTACCTTACTGCCTAGTCTAGCCTTGCTCTTTTTTCCCCTTCCCCTAAAAAAAAGTCCCACTCTTGAAACCATTGGTTCAGTCCAGTCTTGAGAGAAGTATAGAAAAGGTCTATACTCTCTCATGAGGAGAGATTAATAAGAGTGGGACTTTTCATTTTAGAAAAGAGGAGATATGACAGAAGTCTCTAAAATTGTGACTAGTGTCACCCTAAAAAAAATGTACTTGTTCCCATAACACAAGAACTAGGGGATCACCAAAAGAAATTTATAGATAGCAGGTTTAAAATAAACAAAAGGAAGTATTTCTTCAGGCAACATACAATCCACCTGTGGAACTCCTTGCCAGAGGATGTTGTGAAGACCAAGACTTTAACGGGGTTCAGAAAAGAGCTAGATACATTCATGGAGGTTAGGTCCATCCATGGCTATTAGCCAGGATGGGTCGGAATGGTGTGCCTAGCCTCTCTTTGCCAGAAGGTGAGTATTAGTGACAGGGAAAGGATCAGTTGATCACCTGTTCCCTTCATTCCCTCTGGGGCCTCTGGCATCGGCCACTGTCAGACAACAGAATACTGGGCTAGTTGGACCCAGTGTGGCTGTTATGTTCTAGGTTGCAGTGACACTGTCATGCAGTTTAGGTCTATACAACAATCGGAGGTGCAACTGTAGCCCATGTACCTGAGCTAACTGTGATCTAGCTTGCTCAAATAACAAGAAGAATGAAGCCATGGCAGTATGGGTTGCAGCTATTTGAGTGGCTTCAATGCTATTGTTCAGGCTAGCTAGATCCAAGATAGGATGGGGAAGCATGGTACAATGTCAATGAACCTGTAGAGGCTGAAGGTTTATATGACACACAGACCAAGTAAGTTCTCTCTCCAGCCAGTGGGGCTGGACAAGATATATAAGTGTAAACACTTGTGGCTCCAGGAGTTTTACCTTCACTATTGCATTTCCAGCACTGCTGACGCTAGCTGCAACAGTGGGGATTCTATTTTCAAATGGGTCAGGACAGAGTAGATAAGACCTAAAGGGGAACCCCCACTCGGGGGGAAAAAAAACCCAAGACCCACTCCCCTATCACATCCCTGTTGTCCCCATAGAGATAAGGGGTAATTCAATCCACAGCTACTTGGTAACTGCTCCTCTGTACTCATGCGCTTCAGAGCGCTCTGTCCGAGTTTTCTGCCATATGCAATCCTCAGCCACCTAATGCTAGTGCTTCTCTCCTCCACTAATGAACTCCTCGACTCGGGTATCTGCAAAGCCACACATGGAGGTATTTTATCTAAGGGTGCATCTATACAGCAGGGCTTAACTTGAAACAAGCTACACAAATTTAGCTACACCAGTTGCGTAGCTTATTTCAAAATAGCTTATTTCGAAATTGAGAGCATCTACACAGCACTTATTTCAAAATAGAGCATTCTTCCTCTGACTTCCCTTTCTCCTTGTACAATGAGTTTTACAGGAGTCAGAGTAGGAAGTCCTCCAGCTTGACAGTATTTCAACATTATTTTGAAATAACTGTCTGTTGTGTAGACGCAGGGTAAGTTATTTCAAAATCACGCTGTGTAGACTTACCCTAAAAGAGCTTTTTCCTTTGCTTGGTTATAATCCCAAATACCATTTCAAGGCAAGCTCAATGCCAGCATGAAAACTTAGAGCAAAAATAGTCAAAACAACATGTTTACCATAACAGACTGTTTGGCATGAGTATGCTGCTGCCCTCTATTGGGTGTAATCAGAACTACTCTATTGGTGTCAGATCACCCGTATTGTTCACGTAAAACGGGAAATCTCCTGTCACCCCTGTCATCAGATTGTCGGAACTGGCTGTCACAGACATCACAATGACGATGTTCCTGTGTCCTTGTCTGTATCCTAAAATGATTTTGTCGCCAATTGTACTGATTGGGAATAGTCGTGGAATTACTTTAGTATGAAGGCCATGCCATTTAACATTGGGTGATTCGCTCCCAGAAGAGCTGTCCTTGCAGTCCATGCAATGCAGAACGCTGACGTGTCAGGAATTTTCACTGGTGGGAAGTGCCTTGCACCTTCCCCATGGGTTAAACACAAGCAATCCACTTATGAACAGAGCTTCACCATATCCCTCTGAAGTACTACTGCCGACATTCAACCATTGGGGAGAGCTGCTCTAAATCGCAGTGCCCTAACCCTGCCCCACACCCACTGTTTATTGTTCGCACTTGCTATCTTCATTGATTGCCATGAGGATTGTTACAAGTCCCAAATGGAATCAAAGTCCCTCTGCATTAGGGGCTGTATATGCACACAGTGATTGTGGAATCTAAGTAGAAAAAGCAGAAAAATGATGGAAGTGGCAACAGAGAAGTGAAGAGACTTTCCCAAGGTCAAATAGCAGCTCAGTGTCAGAGTCAGGAAAAAACTCAGGGCTCCATAGTCTCACCCCCATCCCCTATCCACTAAGGCCCATGCTAGCCTTACTTCACAAGATCTTCTATGTGTAGCTTTAACTCCTCTCTGCAGATGCTCCACTCCTTCCTTTCCCCTACATTTTGAAGTTGTAACTGAGTGTTGTCTTTGTTCTTTCCCAAAGCTCAGTTTCGGAGGGATCCCAGTCCCAGGAAAGCCAGGAACCTTTCTGAAGAAAAACTTCCTTGGATGCATCGAGAACCTTTATTACAATGGAGTCAATATAATTGACCTGGCGAAAAGGCGTAAACCTCAGATCTACACCGTGGTGAGAACCAGTTGTGTCTATTTTTCTTCTTTGATACAACATTTCCTTCCATTCCCAGACAGTGACAAGTGCTGTCTCTCCTACCAGATGATTTCAGCTCAGATTAGACTGTTATGTGTATAGTTCGTTCAAAGGATATGTGCTTCTGCTCCCGCAATATCAGGAGGGTCATTCAAAAAGGCACATACCCAGATGTGCTAGGTTTGCTGATATCCAGCTATGCTTGAGTCTGGGGAGGCTGAGTTGAAGGAAACTTTTTACTCTTTAATTAATTTTGGATTGACGTCTCTGGGTCTCTCCAAAGATTCGGTGAGGCCATCTAGAGTACTAAAAGCAACAGAGTCAGAATCTGGTCAAACTCTCACTGACTTTGAGCAGAACTTTATTCCATGAGTAAATTCCCTGCGTGTTTTGGAATGTTGGAGAGAAGTGTTTCCTGGGGAACTTACTGCATATATTTCTAGAAATAGGGCCAGAGACGGAGGGAAAACATTGATTTCTAAATGAACGTGTGAGTGATGCAGCCTGAAGCATTGAATAACACACGATTAGTATATTTTATTCAGGTATTAAGTATAGATTGGATCAGTGATCTGGAAAGCCGTACTTCTTACAGCCCTTCTCCCACAAAACGTTCAAGTGTTGCGCTGCAGTTTTCAATGGCTAGTTGATTCCTAAACGTTACCTTGCATGGTGTTGCCGCTGTTCCATGTGCAGATCTGACAATTGCATAGTGAGACTATAGGGTCAGGGTGTTCTTCCTGTGGCATTCCAGCTTGTGTTGTGTAGACAGTCATGGGTAAAAGTCCTTTTGTACATATGCAGAGTCACCATTGCTGAACACAGACTCTCCAATAGTCCTCACTTGCACAAGGCGTTTTGCTCTTCACGGGTACAATAACAACCCCCTCCATGACACAGGTGGTGCCATTCTCTTCTCCATCCCTAGAGAATGTGGCAGTGGAAGACTGCCTCATGAAAGCTCTTGTGAAGAAAAAAAGGCCCATCCTTTAAAGCAGTTGTTGTCTTTAAGGGATGATTCTGTACTCCCAGAGAGTCGGGAAGTCATTCTATAACATTCCCCAGTTGTGCTTGAGCTTTGTTTTATGTCGCTGTGCTTCGTGAGGTAGCACTGAAGCGGAAAACATGGTGAAATGGAACACAATGGCACACAGTGAACCCAGGCACACAGTGAGGTACAGCAAGAACTTTGGCCCTCCCCTTCAAACTATCCGTTTTATACCTGAGATACCCAAACATTTAACACCTGAGGAGATTATGCTGTACCGTGGTCCAAAAATTGTTCCACGCTTTTTCTTCTCTTACCTTCTGCTCCTCCCTCTTCCCTCCCCCTGTTCACTTTGTCATTCAAGCTGGAGAAGCAACTGTATTAACAATGTGCTTCTCCAAGTGATAAGGGGAATACGGCCTATCTAATCCAGAAGCCAAATGACAAGTCACTGTCCCCCTGACTGAAAATTTAAGCCTGGACCCATGAGTGTTACACTAGAGAAATAATTATTCCTGATTAAATGGCTTTTCCCTCCAAAATGGAGGCAGCCATGAATGGATTAGTCCAGTAGACACTAGTAAAATGTAAATGAGAACCTTGTGCTGGTGTCTGTATTGGCTGGTGGCCACGTTGGGTGTGGAGACAGGCTGGGAATGGGGGATTTGGCTAGTGGGGAGGGTGCAGGAGTTGGCTGGGGTCTTGGCAGGGTTGTGTGTGTGTGAGAGAGAAAGAGAGAGGGGCATGAGGTGAGGACGGGTGACAGTCCTGTGAGCAGTGTGACACTGAGAACATTGTGTTTTAAGTCACTATGTGGGTCTTTCTTGGAGCCTTTGAGCTGGGAGGAATTATGATACTTCAACTCCAAAGGCAGAGACCTCTCAGTGAAAAAAAAGAAAATCTTGATCAATAAGAGGAATGGTCCTCAAAATGGCTAGTGCAAGGGAAAGAAAATGCAGATTGTCAATATAAAGCCTGCATTCAGACAATATGCTTGGATGGTGCATTTTATTATGGTGGCACTTTTGTCCTTTTCTACAACTCATTTGTAGTCACTGGACTTGCAATAAACGCCCATCGGAAAAGGCCTCGAGGCAACGTTTTAGGCTTCAGGTCACCCTTTAGTGAGATCACCCCAATGTTCAGACCTGCTTGAAAGAGACATTGACTAGAACATTCAGGGGAAATAGATTGAGTTCGAAAGAGACATTGACTAGAACATTCAGGGGAATAGATCGGGAGTAGGAAAGACGTGGTTAAAAAATACAGTTCTTGAGTTTCCCCACACCGTGCCGTTGTTTCTATTCAAGTAAAATAGAGAATGTTCCGCTCCACACACCCCAGGTTCATAAATACATTGATCCATGTTTTTAAATACCTGGAAGAAGCTCTGGTCTATCTGAGATCTGGCAGGAAAAGTGTCAGGCTTTTCAGTTTCCTGCTGTAAACAGGAGTAGTCAGCTCTCGTGCTTGAAATCCCATGTCCGCTTGCCAGGCTGAATCTGGGAATGCTGAGTCAGCCCAGTGAGGGATGTGGTGACATACAAATGCATCAGTGTACTCCCTGGGGAACTCACCACTTGCAGGCATCAAAGAGTGCAGAGAAATCGCTAGTGACAGGAGAATGCAAACTAATAATTCATTCCTTTCCAAACAAGCTGTTCCGCTCAGCGGATCTGAGGCACTATCATCTTGAGAAGAATGTGCGTGTCTGTGCTCATATCTCATTCTGCCGAAGCACTGTTGTAAGCGTTGATGGTCACCTCTCGGCGTCAGTCCAGTCATTCCTAATTAGTGCCTACAGGTCAGAGACTTGGAAAATTGGGATTGGTCCTGCCTTGGGCAGGGGGCTGGACTTGATGTCCTCCTGAAGTCTCTGCCAGCTCTGTGATTCTGCGAAAACAAAGCCGTTTTTACGTGCATGCTGATGGAAAATGTGTTGGAGCCGCAGAGAGAAAACAGATGTGGATAACCACAGTGCCTTCCCAGCTGTTACTTTTCCAGAGTGCATCCTCATTCCTGCAGAAGCAGATGAGCTACTGGGGAAAAAGGCTGCACCTGCATTTCAGCCTACCTCAAGACCTCCTGTGCGGGACAGTTAGGCTGAATCTGCTTCACTGTGGTTTTCCCGTTTGCATTTTTCTCTCTCCGAGGTTTTTGCCTCCTTTTGCATGAAATCTTGAAGCAGCATGTGAGCAAAATAATGAATCCCACAGCATTTAAGTGCGTTCCAAATGAAGCAAAACAAGTCCCTTCCAGCCATAGTTGGCAAGACTCTGAAACAGTCGCCTTTTCGTTCCCTCTCTCCAACTTTCTTACATTTTAATGTCTCTGTAGCTGGTTGATCAGCTCCGGGAGCATGGCCTTTGGCTGGCTAGCAGATGGGGTAGCTGGGACACTTCTCTGGACACCCAGGACTTTGCTTCATCCTTGTCTGCACTCAGATGGGTGGCAGCTCCCTCATACAACCAGCCTGTCAGCCAATCAAGTCCCTTCCTCTGGGCTGAACCAACTCTGACAATAGCTGCCGACTCCCTTCAAAGTGTCCCCTGTGGACAGGAATCCCATCTCCTCCGTTCCCAAATGAGTAGAGTACCTCAGATCATGAGGGTCACCTCAGAGCACCAGACTCTAATGATAGTCAAACACAAGGAAACATCTGTTTAAAAAGAGCAGAGATTCAAATTAAAAACCAGGGTGAGTGATGAAAACCGATGTTGCGTGGGAAGCAAAAGCATAATATGCGAACGAGAGCCTATGCCTATTAATAGTCACCAGCCCTAGAATCTTAGCGGTGTAAGGGATCTCAGGAGGTCATCAAGTCCAACTTCCTGCTCCAAGCAGGCCCAACCCGAACAAAATCATCCCACCCAGGGCTTTGTCAAGCTGGGACTTAAAAACTTGTAGGGATGGAAATTCCACCCCCTCCCTAGGGAACCCATTCCTATGTTTCACCACCCTCCTAGTGAAATAGTTTTCCCTAATATCCAACCTAGACTTCCCCCACTGCAACTTGCGACCATTCGTCCCCGTTTCCTAGCAAATAAAGCAGATTCTCATTCTCAGTCTTCTGCAGCATTTGCTGGTCCCAAGGAACCGGGATACAGTAGTCGGTCATCAAGCATCCTTGCTCATTAAGGTACTGCTTCAGTGAATGGATGAAGAGGATCTTTCTCCACTCTGTGCCATACTCAATCTTTTATTGGTCTTTAATCACAGCGAGAGTCCTCCTCTTGCTGTCACGTCATTCCTTTTCACTTCCAAATGTCAATATTTATTTTTGGTGGCTTTCCATTGACTTTTCCAGGTTGTTTTCGCAGTGGACAGTAGCACATTGCATTGCATAATTAGCTGGGAGGAGAGAGTAGCAACTTCCTTTCTCTCCCTGAAAGAGCCATCAATGAGAGAGAGAATTCCCTGGTGAGAATGTGCAGTTATATTATTCCTTTAAACATTACTGCATACATATCTCACAATGATTAAGAGTATCTGTTCGTTCCAAGCTTTCAGTAGAGATGTTGCCTGCTTCATTTTATGGCTAGAGACCATGAAAACAGCGTATTTGGTGTTACCGGGCTAGTCAAACATTGAGGGAATGAGAAAACAATCCCCCACTCTGATTAAATGACAGTTTAGTTTTAAAGTCTTATCCAAAGGACATGTGATCAGTAATCTACCTAGTACTCTGTGTTCAGGCCCACTGATGGGGTAGGGGGCAAAGGAGGCAGCTGTGATTCAAAGGGCAGTGGTGGCAAACAGAGCCCTGGGCCCGGTAAATCTTTGTCAAGGGCTGGGGAGAGGAGGACTGTATTCCAAGCAGCACTGAAGGCTGGCTGGCCTTAGCCACGCCCCTTCTGTCCTCAGCCCCACCCCTTTCACGAGCATGGAGCCAGCCTTCCCACTTTGCCCAGGGCCCACAGCGGCTCATTGTCTCTGTCCACATTGTGGCTTCGTCTTCCCTGTGAGTTCTTCTGGCAGAAAATATGCTAAT